TTGCTTCCAAGTCATTTATTTTAAATTTAAGGTTTTTTTTACTCAAACTTCCTTCTTAAAAATAAGGTGCGTGTTATACGCCAGTAAATACGGTACTTGGGAATAATGCCCTTCGAGCTTAGATGAGGTTTCGTTTGGAGCGTCAGAATGCAGTTTCAGTTGTTAAAGCATCTTGCATTTTGTGTTCTTTGAGTATTTGTAAAAAAAAAAACACTAATTAACAATTTGAACTTGGCTTTTTCAAAACGAGCCCTCTACCTCACTGCCCATCTTTTTTGGGATAAATTCTCATTATGCCCAGCTTCACGTGCATCACATTACCTTTTTCCAATGTATGCTTAATGTGGTTTAAAAAACTCATTTTAAAAGCCATGAACTCCCTTTCAGTCCCATATGCTTACCTGGGTGTTTTATTTTCATCAGACAATGATAGAGTTGCAAAGTAGTTTGACTGCTTAAAATGTTGTGATCCTAAAGCTTTGTTTCTAGCCTACTGCCCTCTAAATGTGTGAACTTTGGTCACTGTCCTATTTAGCATGGCCAATAGGTACGGTTGTGAAAGGTATTGTTGTTTAACGTGCATGGAGAATAACAGGTTGGAGAGGATCAACATTACATCAACTTGCATGAGTTTTTGCTAACATTCATATTCTGAAAATGTAGAGATAATGCAACTAACAGGCCTTTTTATTGTATCTGCAGCAGAAGAGATTCACATATCCATTCCAGAAACAAAAGAAGGCTTAGCACAGGTATTGTACAATATTATGATTTTGAAAGTGCATATACCTTTCTTTTTAGTATGGAAGCACCTTAGGGATTTAAAAGAGTGATATAGCATTAGGAAGTAACTGCTTACATTCTCAGTGTTTGCATTACAGTAATACCTCGGTTCACGAACGCTTCTGTTCACGAACAGTTCGGTTCGCGAACAGCAGCGTTCGCAAAATTTTGCTTCCGTTCGCGAACTCCACATCGAGTGACAAACACGACTCGCGGCCATCTTCCCTGCTCTGACATGTGGGCGTCGCTTCCTCTTCGCGGGATCGCCGTGCCCGAGACTTTCTGTGAAGGGTTTTGGGGGGGGCTTTTGTACC